CACTTGTCGCGGTTTGCTTTGTACTTGGCTTGTCGTAGCCGCTCCAAAACGGTGCGCAGGTGTTCCACATGCTCGTCCAAACTCCGACTATACACCAAGATGTCGTCGAGGTAGATGAGTACAAACCGATCCAGCATGTGTCGGAACTCCGTTGTCATAGCCGCTTGGAAAGTGGTTGGGGCATTCGTAAGGCCAAACGGCATGACCAGCCATTTGAAATGCCCATACCGTGTCTTGAACGCAGTCTTGTAGCGATCCTCCTTGTGAATCTTGAGTTGGTGGAACCCTGACTTGAGATTCAGCTTAGAGAAGAACTGGGCGCCGCCCAATCGCTCGAGAAGGTCATCGATGCGTGGGAGAGGGCTGGCGTTCCTGATCGTCTGCGCGTTGAGCTTGCGATAATCGATGCACAACCGCATGTCCTTGTTCTTCTTCCGGACGAAGAGAACAGAAGCACCGTATGGCGATGAGCTAGGCCGAATCCAGCCTTTCTCTAGAAGGTTGTCGAGTTGTGCGCGAAGCACACTTAACTCTTCCTCGCTCATTCGGTAGATGCAACCGCGCGGAGGTACGGCCCCGTCCTCGAGGATGATCTCGTGGCGGATGGGTTGATCCGGTACTACTCCATGCGGGCCTTCGAACACGTCGCTATAGGCGTCGAGAAGCTCGGTGATGCGTGGATCCGAAGGTGAGTCCGTCGATGAAGCGTCATGGGGCGGGAGCGCGTGGAGAAAACACACACCCATCTCCTCGATGTCGTCTCTGATGATGGAAGCTCGCATGCTTGCGGCGGATACCATGTGGCAGCTGATCGAAGGATGAGGAAGAGGCCCTGTGCATGGAACTAATACTCCGTTCCGATCACGAGCGTGAACGGTGCGGTTGAAGAAGTTCACCGGGTGATCCTTGCTTCGCAGCCATGACATGCCCAAGATCATGTCGAATTTGGTGTCCAGAATGTCAAAGGACATCGCCTCGCTTGCGTAAGGGGCAAAGTACACTGGGACGTCGTCAATGCACCGGTCAATTGACTTGTGCGTGTGACCGTCCGCCAATGTGACTTGCGTAGGCTGGGCCTTCCTTCGGACGCGTGGGCCAAGGCCGGCGCGCACCATGAAGTCCTGGCTGATGTAGTTGCGAGATGCTCCGCAATCGATCAAGGCACTGCAGGTCGCCTCTCCGATCTGAATGCGTACGTATAGCAATGGTGCGTCGATGTCGTCGTACCGTTGCGTCTTGAACTCGCGGTCGATCTTCGCGATGTAAACGTGAAGGTCGACAACCTCTGCTCTGGCGTCCATCAACGGAGCTGGTACTGCAGTGTGCAAGTAGTCCGCAGTTGCGCCATGAGCACATTGCAATGCGGTTTCGGCAATCGTCTGGTCGAGGGAACGGGCATCCACTGGAAGTCCGTGAACGTCAACGGGTCGAGCTCATCAAGTCTTGACCATGACGTCGAATCCCCGGCGATAGATTGCGGCGAAGGTGCCGAATCGGTTGCCGATGGTGATGAAACCGTGCATGCGGTGGACTGTTGCACGTGGAGCGGCTGGTCCAGCGGTGGAACCAAGTAGACAGCATAGTCCTCGTAATTGTAACGAGAACTTGCGACATTCGCGTCCTCCCCAGATATGCAGGAGGCCGCTAGCAAAGCGGCCGAATCTGGCGGAGTGGAAGGTGGAGTCGCCTCACCTTCCGCGGAGCTCAGTTTCCCGAGCTGAGGCGGGGTCGCACATCCTCCTTGCCCCGATCCTGGCACAGGGAGGTCTTGTGCTTGGTGTTGTTGCACCAATAGCAGCTGCCATAGCGGCCGCGGACCTTGTACTCCGCCTCGGTCAAGCCGAACTTGACCCATAGAACTTGTATCGGCTGTCCATTTCCTGCCTGCGATGCGGATTTCGCCTTCCCATTGTTGCGGGACTTGTTGTTGCTTCGCGGCTGGACAACAGTCACCTGATCTCCGTCACTTGATGCTGGAGTGGCTGCTGGGTTATCTCCACCGTCCGACTGGACTGCACCGAAGTGCTGCTGCCGCGGACCAGTTCGTGCCTTCTCCACATAGGTCGGCGGCCATGTTGATTTCTCGTGTGCAGCTGACCTGTTGGTCTTGATGATCCTTCTCGCCTTGTCGATAATCTCGGCGAAAGTGGAGTACTGCTCGCGATCACCAAGAGCCTGGCTCAATGCAGCACAGGACCTGTTGTAGAACTCACGTCTGAGATGAGTGAAAGGCAGATCCAGATTGGGCACTGCCGCAATCTTCTGCCACTCCGTGAGCCAGTCCCGTGTTGCAGTGTTGCCCTGTGACATGGTGAACAGACGGTTGATGGCGAGTGTCGGGGCGTCGTCAACGATGAACCGCTTCTTCCACAGCCGTGTCAGTTCTTCCCATGTGATCTTCTCTCTTAAATCTGGTACGTCGACGCCGTGGGAAGTTGCCAGGTGGATCAACCAGGTCTGGCATCCGCCCTTTGAGTTCAGGAACAGGGCGCCGATGTACGCATGCTTGGCTACTGGCAGAATCCTGAGTTGCGTTGTGAATGCTTCCCACCAGAGGACCGGATCCTGCTGCGTATAGTCGTCAAACTTTTCCAGTTGGAAAGTTGGCATTTTGTACAACTTCGGATTGTCATCCGTGTTCGTCGACTGCAGCTGCTGGACCTCGGTCTGCAAGGTATGCAGCTGACTGCTGATGGTGGCCGGCGCAGCGAAGGTGCTGATGTCGCCGAGCATTGCCATTACGTGGTCAACACGTTCCTCCAGTTGGCGGCTAGAGGGTGCACTGCTGGAAGCCCCAGCAGCTGGTCCTGGTACAGCCTGTTCCAGGTCCAGCAATCGGGCATTGAGTGCCCGAGTTGCATCCTCGTGGCCCTGCACTATGCGGCGGAGCGTCGCCAACTCCTGATGCTGTTGTGTCAGGTCCTGGTACTGTCTCTCCAACTCTGATCGTTGGTAGTTGCAAGCATACAACAACCGTGTCACGAGTTTGGAGAGGAACTCCTTATGCTGCTCTTCCGGTGTTGCCTCGTCGCCGTTTGGTTCAAAGTGCCAGAACTTGAGTCTGTCGATGCTTGTGGCTTCATGCCGCTGTAGCAGATCCTGGGCTTCCTTGCGGCGAGCCTGGGAATCTGCGTCTGCATCGGCCTGTAGTCGCAGCTTCTCTGCTGCTGCTGCCTCTTCAGCCTGTACGCGGGCAGCCTCGGCTGCCAGCTGGCGTTGTTCCTCAGCCTCGATCTCAGCCAGGCAACGCTGCTTGTAGGCGGCAATGGACTCATTGGCCAGTTGGCCTGGCAGGCCCGTCATGTTGCTGACGTGGCACTGCTGATGTGGCACTGGTGACGTGGCACTGCTTACGTGGCACTGTGTCTGATGTGGCACTGCTGATGTGGCACTGCTTACGTGGCACTGTGTCTGACGTGGCACTGCTTACGTGGCACTGAGTCTGACGTGGCACTGTGACCTGGCACTGCTGATCTGGCACTGTGACGTGACACTGCTGACAGTGGCACTGCTGATCTGGCACTGTGACGTGGCACTGCTGACGTGGCACTGTGACGTGGCACTGCTGATGTGGCAATGCTGATCTGGCACTGTGACGTGGCACTGTTGATCTGGCACTGTGACGTGGCACTGTACCGAACCGGGATGCATGCAAGGGGTGGGTAGGAGGGAAAACGTAGGTAGGAACCCAACAAGACTTTCCTCCGGCCCTAATCAACAGATAAAATAAAAATAAAAAAATAAAAGAGGACTACTTCCTTCCTTTTTTTCTTTTTGTATATATCTGTCGATCTATGATGAGTAGGATATGTCAGAAGAGTATTATGAACGAGATCTAGGCTAGTTTCCGCAAAGTTTCGGCTTTTACAAATTGCGATCTTGAATTTTTTTTTGTGAAATGGAGTAAAGATGCGATTTTCAGAAAAGAACGAAATCCAGTTTCTGAGAATATAGCAACCTCCGAATATGCCTAACGCGATCTTGGTAGGCTTCGCAAGATTCGGTTTTCAAAAAAAAATTTGCGAGATAGAATGGAAATGCGATTTTCAGAAAAGAATAATTTCAGTTTCCGAGAATATGACCACTTCTATCGTTATCCCAATATGCCTAGAGAACGAAAATACTAACTTCAGAAATTTCAGCTAAGTATGCGAAATATCAGAGAAACGAAATGCTACTATCGGGAATTTTCAGACAAAACGAAATGCGATTTATCAGAATTTTTCAGATATTTGTCACGTAAAAACGAACTACTAATATCAGAAATTTTCAGATAGAACGAAAATGCGCATGTCAGAATTTTTCAGATAGTTGTTGCGAGAAAAAAAAAAATTTCAGAGATTTGACTGAGTCCTACTTGCATTACTAATGAGTGATCAATAGATCGCAAGCTGGCTACTTGATTGAGCGGGTCCTCTGAATAGAGGTCCGCTCCGATACCAAACTGTTGCATACTGTAACGTGCAGACCAGAACAAGAACCGACCTTTCAATACAAAGTATAAGATAGCTCCGATACCAAACTGTTGCATACTGTAACGTGCAGACCAGAACAAGAACCGACCTTTCAATACA